CATTGCTCACACAAGGTAGTCTGGTCCTGGTTACTGGTGTGTAGCAGGTGCCATGGAAAATGACCTTTGCAAAGGCAACTCCTTCATAGTAATATAGATATAAACTAAATCTTTTATATGCTGATATCATATATGTTGCCTATCAGAGTTGCAATCCCTTCCTACTGATATGGACTGAAAACAGTTCACAGATCAGCCGATACCGGCAAGAGGTCAATTTTATTCCAGCATCGCTAAGCCTGAACGTATACGTTAGTCTTTGCCTGGCCTCCTCTATTTCTAACTTTATGCCGATATGCCGTGGCTTAGGTGTCGGCTGCGGCTCAGACGGTAATGAGGCCTAAATCAGAGAGATTTCCGGTGTGGACTGAAAAGTGCTGGTAGTTTCATTCTGTGAATATAAGGAAAGCTAACCATGTATACGGGCGTATGCGTATGGTTTCTTATGGTTTGAATATTGAATATGTTGTTGTTCCCGTGATCGAAATTTTTTAGAGTTTGCATGATCAACTACAGTTTGTATATTCCAGCACTGCCGGAAAGAATGAGGCGACATGCAAGTGTGACTCATATTAGTCAATACTTTGATGAAGCTCATTCCTCGAACTCCACACAGCCCACTTGCTTCTAAAGGATTAGAAGACCATATAAACAGGCCGCCTATGACATCTGACCATTTGCAGTGCAGGAAAGCTTCATATAGTATAGTTGACTCAGACGACATATTCTCCTTCATCGAGATGCACACGGGGTTTTGGTTCCAACAATATAAAGGCTAGCGGAACTAGTAATCCTTTTAAGCGAAAAGTTACGTCCTGAGTGATAAGAGTCTGTGTTTCTTATAGTTTCGTAAAGCCGTGATATGATGAAAATATTTCCCAAATTTTTAGCAGCAAGGGGATAATGTTTCTACGTCATGTAATACATCTCATGAAATGACATATTCCTGGTAATAATTGATGAAAATAGTAACGCTAACTTGAATAGTTAAATTCAAAGGCTATTAATACGCTATATAGTATTTATTGACCAGACTCTGCAGCTGCAAAGCTGGAGTGACTGAACAGCGACTCAGAGGTCAGGTTTGAACTCCGCAGGGCTATATTCAAATCCGCTTATGGGATAGTCTTTGTTTAAACCGTGAATTCCCTTTAGCAAGGAATCTACGCAACGTTGCTCCGGGGCTATTGGCCAAGCAATGAGTACCGGTCGGTGATTTGCGAATAACAGGGACAGCCTGGTATTGTGATTTTGTCATGCTAGAATAGACGAAATGTACGGCGGTGCTGTTTAGTGCCTTAACCCGCCTTATAACTGACTATCGAGTATAATAATCAGCATAAGGTATAACCCTGGTTTTGGCAATGCAAATGCGTTACAAATGCGTTACAAAAATGACTTTAGGATGAGGAAACTCAAGTGAACTCTTTATTTACTCACGTTTCATGTCAATTAATGTAAAACTAATTAATGTGTTAATTTTGCAATTCTTAGATTCATGTTTATTGTATCATGTGAAGTACTGGGAAATCTTCAGGAAAGCATAAATTCTCAATTAAGATTTAATCCGTGTGGACAGTGAAATCCACTCCCTCAACCTCTCTAAGAGTCTACTGAAAAGAATGGCGGATCCCGCAGGTACCGAGAACTTTCACGTAAAGGTTCGCAACAGAAGGGCTCCGCTGTTCCCTGTACCACTAAAGTCAACACCGATACCCACAAGGTCGAAGCAAGCAACCCCATACTTTAGACTGGTTGCTTTTTGTAAGAGTGCTGAACGAGTGACTGTGCGCTACGCTGTGACTTTCACATAGCTACGGATACCGTAATCGCAAAGGCGTCCCTAATGAAGGGTGTTGTAAGCTACGCACCTCGCGGTACTGTAATGAAGGTCGGCATGCAAATAGTTGTAAAATTTTTTCTCTCTCTTAAACCGACGTGTGGTGGTGCATAGAAACTCCAAAAACAATTGTTTTTGAGAAGCGGTCATCCCTGGTCTTGTGTATCATAGGAGGTTACGGTTTATGAGATATTCGTTATGCTAACTGGCTAAAGATGCGAAACGATCAAATATGAAATAAAATGCTGCAAAGCATCTCGCAGAGAGGGTCGTTCATTCCGTACTGATGAAGAGTGGCAACGAATCTAAGGTTTTACGATGGCTATGTTAAGCTTGGATTGTTTGGTGACTTCAGTTGGGAAAATGTTTGTGGACTATAGTTATAATTTCATGGCGTCGCTTATAATACGGCGATCCCATGGCAATGACGAGTGTCATTCTCCGGTCAGAAGATGATTACATCAACGAACAAGTCTATGAAATAATAATTGATCATCTGAACGGCTAATCATATTATATTTCTCTCCATAATCCACGTCAGTGAGTCGTTATTTTCTAATTGAAAGTTAGACGGCACGATGAAAGATTTGATCGCTCCTTCGTTGAATACTTTTGTTCTTTTCTCCCTTCCTTATGATCTCTAGTTGTTTTCTAAACTGTAGGTCGCTAAATATTCATATTGTCTGCTAATCAAGATTCGTGTAGATCTCTACTGATTGGACAGGTTAGCTAAGAACATGATTGGTTGATCTTGGAACAGTCAATATCTCGTGTCAGGGTGGTAAAGCTTATGAAAGCTCGATGCCCGGTTATGTTTTAATTTTTTCGCTAGATGGGACTCATTCTTCTGTCCTGGGTAAGAATCCAGATGCATGGACAACTTGGATACAATTTAGGTTCACCGGCCATCCTCTGCGGAATGATGTCCATAAAAGAAAAGGCTGCTTAAGGCAATTCTCAAATCTACGATAGCAGCTTAAATGAGGAAAGACGATCATTATGGAATCAGGCACGGTAGAAGGAGAAAGAGTAAAGTACCGGAGATAAGCGTGGCCGTCTAAGTCAGCAAGATCAACAAATCTGCCCTCACCTTCGATCACAGATATCACATATGCAATAGCCATCCATCGCATTTTGCTCTTTCTCTATCTGTCCACATCTCGTACTTAAAAATAAGTTCATTTTAT